CCATATGATCCACACACTGTTACTTCTGTTACTTCTTTTAAAAGATGAGGCTCATGAAGCTCAGATACCTTAACTTGCCCAAGGTCACCTAAAAATACCAGGCCAGTAATCCAAGCCAGTCTGTTCAGTTCTGAGCTTGCTTGTGTACCTAAGCAACTGTACGTTGAGAAGGAGGAAGAGCAAGGCTCAAGAAGATTTCAGAAGTGACCCCAGTTAGGTCCTAAAATATAAAGTCAGTCACCAAGTGGGGCCATTCCAGATGGAGAGAACAAATGTAAACACATGGTCAGAACTGCAAATCCCTTCACCTTTTCTTCTCTAGAGGTGGGAACTTGGAATGCCCCAGAGGCCATTAGTTCATCCAAAATTCACTTGCCACTCTCCTTTGCCCTTTTCTCTTTTCTCCCCATTTTGATTCCCTCTAGCCAAAGCTATTGTTTTTCCAGTAGTCATGTATGGGTGTGAGAGTTGGACTATAAAGAAATCTGAGCGCCAAAGAATTGACGCTTTTGAACTGTGGTGTTGGAGAAGACTCTTGAGAGTCCCTTGGACTGCAAGGAGATCCAACCAGTCAATCCTAAAGGAAATCAGTCCTGAATATTCATTGGAAGGACTGATGCTGAAGCTGAAACTCCAATACTTTGGCCACCTGATGTGAAGAACTGACTCATTGGAAAAAACCCTGATTCTCGGAAAGATTGAAGGCAGGGGGAGAAGGCGACGGCAGAGGATGAGATGGTTGGATGGTATCATCGACTAAATGGACATGAGTTTGAGTAAACTACGGGAGTTGGTGATGGAAGGGAAGCCTGGCGTGCTGCAGTCCATGGGGTCGCAAAGAGTCGGACACGACTGAGCGACTAAACTGAACTGAACTGACCGACTTTCCTGGTTCCCTTGGTGCCTACCCAGGATAAACGTAATGGAGGTGTTCCTGGCAGAGGGAGCTGGAGAAGGAGGCGCATGTGTGTAGAGAATGAGAGACCTAGAGTGTAGTTCACCCTCTTCTCACACTTGGCTCGCCTACTCTGTCCTTCCTGCGGGTTTCTGTAGAACTCTGAGCCCCACCATTCGCGGACACCAACCGCGGCGCCTGCGCTGGCGCCCTCACTCTATCCGTACCCGAGAGGGGCGGGGCCGGAGCCCGGAGTAAGCGGCGGTAGGCTGGGGCTGGGCCACTGTTCACCAATAGAAAAGAGGAGCCGAGAGCCACGTGGCCATAAGGAAGCCAATCACGTTTGCTACTGAAATCCTCCATCCTGGAGTGTGGCCTGCGAATTGGCAAGCCTGGGAGCACATGATCACGTGATCAGAAAAGGTAAATATGGCCACGTGGTTTTTCTTCGGTTGCGGCAAACGGTTGCGTCTTCTTGTACCTTCAGTGAAAGACTTTAATGAACGTGTGTGATGTGCCAAGCTCTGTGAAGATACTGTAGCTTCTGAGATATACCTAATCCTGACGTGGCATTACTCTCGGTCCAGTTTATGTATTTATTCATTTAAATCATCCCAGCCGTTGTAACAGTGTTTCCGGTATTTCGTTTGCTGTAGTGAGCACCCCGCAGATGCTCATTAAGATAGTTACAGGAATACGTTACAGGAGTTCTCACTCCCCCAACCCTTGGGATAATAAAAAGAGGTAGGTTTTTACGTAAGAGAGTATTTTTAGAGCCCAGCTTGAGTACTCGGGGGACTCTGTTGTTTATTAACTGAAAAAATTAGGAATCAGAAACAGCCCTCTAAAATCTTATTTTTCTTTCATCCAAACAGGGACTTGCAGTTTCCTTTCATTGAAAGAATATATTTATAGGGACTTCCGGGGCGGTCCAGTGGTTAAGACTCCTCCCTGCCAATGCAGGGGGCACTTGGTTGGGTCTCTAATTGGGTAACTAAGATCCCTCAAGACAGGCAGCTAAAAAGTAAAAAAAAAAAAAAAAAAAAATGACCTTTACAGTTCTTTGAAGGCCGAGGTCAGGTCTAATTTAATTATTTGTCCTTTGCAATGGTACTGTAGGACAGTATGTATAAAATAGACATTCAACCTAAATGATGAATTTCCTTTTGAAAATAGTCCCATTCTTGCCTGTGGAAAGGTGCTAAGCATTAATGACCAGCACTTCATTCAGCACTCAGCAATTATTCATTGAGTGCCCTATATATCAAGTACAGTACCAGGCAGATAGAGATATGAAAGTGATTAAGACATGTCACTCTACCTTCAGCAATTCACGATGTGATGGCATTTTCCTTCTAAATGACCAGATTTGGGTTCCAGTGTCAGCTATAAGATCTATGAGAGGGTGACCTTTGACAGATGACTTGCCTTTTGAGTCAGTTTCTTCATCTGTAAAATGGGGAGGTAATAATACCTTCAACTACAGAGCTGTTGTGAGGGTGAGGAGGTAATTGTGCAAAATGCATGGCACAGTCTGGAAGGTAGAACATAGCATATGTTACACATCATATGCCAGCTTGACAAGCAAGGGGGAAAAAAGTCTCAGAGAACACTAAACTGATGCAGCTACTAACAATAAATCATTGTCTTCAGGCCAATCCCAGATACATTGTATCCTCAGCATTTTGTGCAGTGTCTGGCCCAGAGTGAGTATTGAATAAATATTCTTTGAATGGAGGAATGAAATGAAGGAGAAGTTGGGACCAAAGACAAATCCACATACACTCCTTTGCTGCCTACCACACACCCAGTAGTGTGTATTCTTTTAGTCTCCAGTATATTCTGTAAAACTGCTCAGTCATGGCTTTTCATAGTCCACGTGGTCCTTTCTCATCTTTGCTTTTCCAGTTCAGTTCTCTTCTGTGCCCTTCTCCACTCTCTCTGGTGAATTTCATTGCCAGTGTAGTAATAAACTTTTGTAGAGAAACTTGGCTGAATGACTTAGTGGTTAACAGCTCAGGCATTATCAAGGAGACTTACATGCTTCCTAAGTTGCCTCAGTCATGTCCGATTCTTTGTGACCCTATGGACTGTAGCCTGCCAGGCTCCTCTGTCACTGGCATGGGTTGCTATGCCCTGCTCCAAGGGATCTTCCCGACCCAGGGATCAAACTCGTGTCTCTTATGTCTCCTGCCTTGGCAAGCGGGTTCTTTACCCCAGGGAAACCCACCAAAGAGACTCATCTGGTCAAATCCTGACTCTGTCATTTGTGTGATCTCAGGCAAGTGACTTGACTTACCTGAATTTTTAGTTCCTCACCCATAAACTGGCAGTTTATGGTTGTTGTATAGATCTCACAGAACTGGTTTGAACACTTAGGGAGATGAGACACGGAAAACGCTTAGCGCAGTAATATATAGTAAGTGCTCAAAAGGTCGAAACTATTATTGTTGATTATATTTTAAGACTACAATGTAAAAAATCAGCTTGTACAAATTCCTTCTCATCTTCCTTCTCTCAGAAACCCCTCACACCCTCCTGTCAGAATTCCCTCTCACCATCCCTCCCTTGGGCTTCTCAGGTGGCACTAGTGGTAAAGAACCTGCCTGTCAATGCAGGAGACGGAAGAGACTTGGGTTCTATCCCTGGGTGGGGAAGATCCCCTGGAGGAGGGCATGGCAACCCACTCTAGTATTCTTGCCTGGAGAATCCCATGGACACATGAGCCTGATGGAGGGTCTCAAAGAGTCAGACACAACTGAAGTGACTGAGCACACGTGCATTCTCCCTTCCTCAGAATTCCTTTCACCCACCTTCTCTCATAATTCCCTCTCACCCAGCTTTTCTCAGGAATCCCTCACATCCTCTCTCACTCAGGTTTCTCTCTCACTGTACTTCTCTCAGAATTTCCTCACTCAGAATTCCCACTTGGTTTCCTTCTCTGAGAATTCCCTCTCACCTGACCTCACTCAGAATTCCCTCACTTAAATTTCCTCATACCTTCCTTCTCTCATAATTCCCTCTCAGCCTCCTTCTCCAAGAATTTCCTCATATCCTCCCTTCCTCAGAATTTCCTCACTCTCTCGCTCTCTTCTCAGAATTCCTTCTCACCTTCCTTCTCTCAGCATTCCCTCTGACTCTCCTGCTCTCAGAATTCCCTCTCACTTTCCTTCTCTCAGATTTTCCTCTGACTTCCGTTCTCTGACTTTCCTCTGACTTCAGAATTCCCTCACTCAAACTTTCTCACACCTGCCTTCTCTCAGAATCCCCTCTCACCCTCCTTTGCTCAGAATCCCCTTACTCAGAAATCCCTCACTCTCCTCCCAGAATTCCTTCTCACCTTGCTTCTCTCAGAATTCCCTCTCACCTTCCTAGTCTCAAAATTGTCTCATACCCTCCATCTCTCAGAATTCCCTCACAGCCTCCCTCACTCAGAATTCCTCTCGCTCTTACAGAATTCTCTTTCCCGTGTGAACATGTGCACATGTCTGTGCGCACACACACACACACATCAGCTTGTAGACTGTGGTGAAGGCTTTGTAGAGTTTAGAAAGGAATTATAGGAAAAAAAAAACGATTGAACACAGTTGGAAGTAAAAGACAGAAAAACAAGGAGGGCAGGTCTGACTCAAACTGAAGAGCCCACCACCTCAGGCAGGGCAGGGTGTTCTGTTGGATGGTCTGGCTTCAGATCCCTTCTTTGCTCTTTACCAGATGCATCTCTCTCGGTAGGTGAATGACCTTTCTTCCTGAAGCTCAGCTTAGAAAAATAACATTTGCTAATAGTGTCTAAATCTTATAGGGCTGCCCAGAGAATTTAGAGACACACAGTTCTGGCACAGAGTAAATCATCCATGGTTATTAATCATTATTCAGGTCTCGTAGTACTCACTTCCTAGAAATGTTCCTCTAATTCAGCTTCCAGGTCTGGAATGAATGATACTCCCAAAGGACCAGGAAGAAATTTAGTCATGTTCAGTAGGCAGAGAATAAAGCAATCTCCAAGCGGGAGGCCTTTCAATAGGTGCTTTATTGGAGGACATGGTATAAGGTCAAAGCCATGGGGCCCAAAGGGAATCCTAATTTCCTGGGAAGATACTCAGATCTAGCAGTACTTCTTGTCCAGGTTCTTATGCTCCTTGTTGTATGGCGCCTTTGAGAAGCAGGTGGCAGCATTGCGGTCACAGTTGCAGATGAAGTCCTCACAGGCATTGTTTTCGCCTGGAATAAAGCGAGAACAGAGGACTGAGTCAAGGCGGTTGATGCTTTGTAGGATCCAGGGGTGGGAAGGATGAAATGAAACGGTCTGCTGGCAATTCCACCAGTGCAAATTTAGGGTTGACAGATAAAGCAAATACAAATACTGGAATTTCAGATCAATAATAAATGCACTATTTGGGACACAGACTTAAAAAAAATAATTTCCAAAAAAAAGTAATAATAATTTCTTGTCTATCTGATAATTGAATTTAACTGGGCAGCTTATTTTATCTGGTGATCCTAAGGTATGATAACTGCTTTGGGGACGTTCTCTGTTTTCACACTTCTAAATGAACTCACTGCTTTAAAAACCCATACAACCACAGAGCGCTGATAACATAGATAAGCAACTGCAGACTGTATGGGGAATACTAAAACACATACTCAAAGCAGCAAAATATTTTACATTTCAACTTAGTGAAGTTTTGTAAGCCAATTTCTCTACTTTGAAGCACATATTCTTAAGATTACAGAATGTCCTTACAATAGAGTATTATAAAGATGTTCAAAATAATTGTGTCTATATGGGGAAACATTTCCAAGATATTAACAGTGAAAAGTTCATAGTATATGCTGAAAAAATCTGAAGTGCAATATATCTAACTGGTTTTCTTGGGTGTTAGGATTATAGGTGCCTTCTGCTTTCTATGACATACATTTCTGGAGAATTTGAAATTATATTATTTTGACCTCATTTACATTTGTAACAAAAAAAACAACATAAATAACATTTAAAATGCATTTCAGCTTTATTATCCATAACTTAATTATGTATATCTGCTTACCTTCAATAATCTTGTTAAGGTTTTATTTCTCTCGTCCTTTCTTTTAAAAATCATGAATGTTTTCCTCAACCCCTCATTAAACATAAATTAGTGCTTAATTAGATTATAAAGTGTGCATAATGAGATAATTATTTAGCGAGTTATGGTTTTTTCTTTTAATTTTGTTTTATTGAAGTTTAGTTGATTTACGGTGTTGTGTTAGTTTCAGGTGTCCAGCAAAAGTGATTCAGGTATACGTTTATATTTTCTTTTTCAGATGATTTTCCATTATAGGTCATTACAAGATACTGAATATGGTTCCCTGTGCTATATAGGTCCTTGTTATTTATCTATTTTATATATAGTAGTGTGTGTCTAGCAAGTTATTGTTTATAATTTGAATCAGTGCCTTCTGCTGCAGGCTTCTTGACTTGCTTGTAGGGGAAGAAGAAAGTTTCATTAAAAATAAATTATTTGCAAACGTGTATGTGGTGTGTGTGTGTGTGTGTGTGTGTGTGTGTGTGTGTGTGTGTGTATTTCCCTGGGGAGAGTGTCTATAGCTTTCAGAAGATTCATAAAGGAGTCCAGAATCCATAGAAAGAAATTCTTACTGATCAAGTTTCAGGGCAAAAATATGATTTCCTGTATATCTGGCTTTCTGAAGTAGAGCACAGCTGAAATCTGTGTTACCAGAGGACTGTGTGAGCAGATGAAGCTATTTTATGCAGCTTTGAAAGAAGTAGTAAGGAAGACTGTGAGACCATGGAAACATGGTCATAGCGTGGTGATAAGTGAGAAAAACACAGAACGCAAGATTGTATCTAGACTGTGCATTCATCAAACATTTACATCGAGAGCACCTATGATTCCAGGCTCTGATCTAGACTCTGGGGACACAGCCATGAAGAGAACAGACAACCTCTGATCTTGTGAATCCTTTCTATTGGAGAGACAGCAAGTGAAGGAATAACATTAATGTGTCGGCTGTTAGGAAATTCTGTGGAGAAAATAAAGCAGAGAGAAAAGAGAAAATGCTGGAGAGATGGAGAGAACGTGTATGTGATTTAAAGGAATAGGTTGAAGGAATTCCTTGGTGGTCCAGCGGACTCTGCGTTTCCCCTGTAGGGGTTGGATCCCCGGTTAAAAGGAATACAGAGGTATGAAACTGTTTATTTCTTAGGGTGATGGGATGCCAGGTCAGTCTTTTCTTGGCACTTTGGGAGCTGCACTGGTGATTCCAGTGTTAGTACAATTTTCAAATTGGGATGTATCTGTGATTGCAAAATTAAGGGCAATGAAAATCTAGAATGCTGGTCTCACAAGACAGTTCCCTACACCTCTCTGAATTGTCTTACTCTCCAAAACTGTCTTCATGGAGGGACATGTTTCATCATGAACGCTGCATAACTTAGTGGTTAAGACCCGAGCCTTTAAAATCAGAAGCAACCGAGTTCAAATGCTGGCCCTACCGTTCATAGGTTGTGTGATTTGGAGCAAGTGACCATTTGGGGGCCTCAGCTTCCTAACCTGTAAAATGGGTTTCATAAAACCTATCACACATGCACACCTTGCCTAGTACCTGGCATGCAATGAAAGCCTGATACGTGGGAATTCTAAGCTCTTTTTATGAAATAAACAAAGCAGTATGGCCTGGCAGTTAAAAGCAGAGGTTTTGGAGTGATATAGACCTATGTTCAAAAACCAAACACCGCCATTCATGGGGCTGTGTGCCCTTGGACAATCGGTCCAGCTTTTTAAGCCTCAGTTCCCTCATCTATAAAATGGGGATAATAGCAGTACCTATTCCATAGGGTTGTTTCAAGGATTAAAGGAGATACTGCCTGGCACCAAGAAAATGATCAGTCAGTGGTGGCTATCATTAATTCTATTTCCCTCTATGCCCGCTAACAAGAGCCAACGAGGGGGTAAACCTACTGCTGCAGGTGACCTCGTTGTTAGAACACGAGTACGAGTAGCTGTTGGTGTAGGGATTGTCCACGAGGACTTTACAGTTGTCCAGTTTCTTGGCCTGTTTGTAGCAGTTGTCGTGTGTCTGGCAGCACCTGGGAAAGGGGGGAACAGAGCTGAGGCAGGAGCATGGTGGGGCAGCACGTCAGCCTGGACGTGCTCCCGCAGAACAGGTGGGGCTGTGCTAGGTGACCTGCCCTGAGAGGCACTGGTCCTGTGGCTTGAAAACAGTCAGTCTTTTTCTCATGTTTATTGAAGATGATTTTAAAATGGTTGCAGGAATACAGCACAAGCCTATACAGCACAAGAGACAGTGATGGTTTCACCCCAGCTGGAAGACTGAATCCTTGAAGTGATGTTTTGTGTTGCAAAGTCCTGCCACTAGAGGGCAGCGCGCGTGCACGCACACACACACGCACGCGCACACATACGCACACTCCACCCATCCACTCACCCCTCACACACACACACACACACACACTCACACACACACTCCACCCACCCACACACCCCTCACACACACACACACACACACACCCCTCACACACACACACCCCACCCACACACCCCTCACACACACACACACCCCACCCACACACCCCTCACACACACACACACACTCCACCCATCCACTCACCCCTCACACACACACACACCCCACCCACACACACAGCCCTCACACACACCCCACCCACCCACACACCCCTCACACACACACACACACACACACCCCTCACACACACACACACCCACACACCCCTCACACACACACACACACACACACACCCTCACACACACACACACACACAGACACCCCTCACACACACACACCCCACCCACCCACACACCCCTCACACACACACACACACACCCCTCACACACACACACACACACACCCCTCACACACACACACACCCACTCACCCCTCACACACACACACACACACACACACTCACACACACACACTCCACCCACCCACACACCCCTCACACACACCCACACCCACACACCCCTCACACACACACACACACACAGACACCCCTCACACACACACACCCCACCCACCCACACACCCCTCACACACACACACACACACACCCCTCACACACACACACACCCACACACCCCTCACACACACACACACCCACACCCACACACCCCTCACACACACACACACACAGACACCCCTCACACACACACACCCCACCCACCCACACACCCCTCACACACACACACACACACCCCTCACACACACACACACACACACCCCTCACACACACACACACACACCCCTCACACACACACACACACACACCCCTCACACACACACACCCACTCACCCCTCACACACACACACACACACACACACTCACACACACACACTCCACCCACCCACACACCCCTCACACACACACACACACACACACACCCTCACACACACACACCCCTCCCCCGCCAACCTTCAGCTTTTTGCTCCCCTGAATTAAGAGGTGAACATGTGTTACTTTAGCAAATAGGCAAATCTTTTTTTGTGCCTCGTGAGACCTTTGTCTTCTGCCCTCCCCCCATCTCAGGGATACTTTCCCAACAGAACAACTCACCTGTCCAGATCATCCACAGGGGTTCCTGATCCGCCCAGGCCGCAATAGCAGCCGTAGTTGTTGAAATCCAGCAGTGGTTCACTGCTGGGGATCTTGCACTTAATCACGCCGTTGAACTGCCATAATGCCCTCGAGTTGAGGCCGGCCTGGCCAGCGCCCACTGCAGGAGGACACAGCTGGAGTTCAAATACGTCCTGGTTGGCTGCCGGCGCCCCAGGGACCTTACTACCTGCTTGCTCTCTCAGGCCCCCATGTTGTCCCCCTGACCCCCCATCAGCTGCCTCCTCTGAAAAGAGCTGGATACGGGAACCTGGGAAAGTGAGTAGGCATTTTCTAAACAACTCAAAAAACGTGAAACTCACCATTTTAAACAAAGCATACAATGCAGTGAGTTTTAGTATATTCACAGAATTGTGCAACCATCAATACTAATTCCAGAACATTTTCATCACCCCAAAAGGATGCCCTCTGCCCATCAACAACCACTCCCCTTTCCCTCCTCCCTTCTGGCAACCACTAATTTGTTTTCTGTTTCTATGGATTTGCCTATTCTACAATATATGGCCTTTTGTGACTGGCTTCTTTCACTTCACATATGATTTGAGCTTCATCCTTGTTATCACAGGTATCAGCGTTTCAGTCCTTTTTATGGCTGATTAATAATTCCATTGTATGGACAGATCACATTTTTTTAGTTGTTCATCATCTGATGTACATTTGGGTTGTTTCTACTTGTTGGCTGTTATGGATAGTGCCGCTGTGAACATTTGTGTACTAGTTTTTGTGTGACTATATGATAATTTAAAACTATTTCCATTATTTATTCAGTAAATATTTATTGAGCACCTATTATATGCTAGTCACTGCCCTGGAGACACATCAGTGAACAAATAAAAAATCTGTAACCTCATTGATCTAGTGCAGGAAAAACAGTAAGCAATAAAGGTAATAAATAAGGGAATCGGATGTTGTGTTAGAAGGCGGCAAAATTGGAGCACAGTAAGGGAATCTAAATGGGGGGTTGGGTTGGGGGATGACGAGGTTGAGGGAGGCCAGAAGCGTGAAGAATGGTGAGGAGGCCCACGTGACCTCCATTCTCAACAGGACAACTTTATTTCTTTTTAAAAATTATTTGACTGTGCTAGGACTTAGTTGTGGCCAGTCTTCATTGTAGCATGCAGGGTTTTAAGCTGCAGCATGTGGGATCTAGTTTCCTGACCAGAGATCAAACCCAGGCCCCTGTATTGGGAGCACGGAGTCTTAGCCACTGGACCACCAGTGCAAGTTCCTAGGACTTCTTTACTTCAGGTGTGGAGCCCGACCTGTGAGATTTGGTGCCATAAAGATGGTGCAAGGTGATTTCAGCCCCCGGTGTCGTCTCTGTGCCCCATGCCTGGCCCTTCCTGTCCTTGATATGCTGTGGACACTGGAGTCGCTCCAAGTGCTTAGGCTCCAGGGCTCAGGAAAGGTGGCAGCTGGTCACTTTCTCTCAAGAGCAGCCTCCGCGGTGGCAGCCGACAGCGGCTACATCCAGGAGCAGAGCCCGGAGGAGTGGTGGAGCTGTGCTCAGGCAGGAGTGGCCTGACTGCCTTGGCCCTCTCCAGACCCCTCTCCTGCTTCCCTCCTCTTTCTTTCTCTCTGATCCCACCAGTTCTGCTCTTTGCAGAGGCCAGACCTGCATGCAGGTACTGCTGAAGTGTATGGGCACACAGCGAGCGTGGCTGACTCCCCAGTCTCAACCCTGAGCCTGATACCTTAGAGACTCTGATACTGTCAATGTTGAATGAATGAATAATGGCTGAATGAGGTGTGATTTGAATTCTAGTTAATTCTGATTCCATTAATCCATTCATTAAATGGTGCAAACAGCACTATCACTGCTCTCAAGGAGTGCGTGCTTAGGTGTGGGTGTGAGATAAAAAATGAAATGAATCAACAAGAGACATGCTGCAGGCCAAGACAGGCACTGAAAAGCCCTTGTATCAAGGCCATGGCTCAGTGGTAAAGAATCCACCTGCCATGCAGGAGATGCAGGTTCCATCCCTGGGTTATAAAGATCCCCTGGAGAAGGAAATAGCAGTCCACTCCAGGGAGAGGGAGAAGGGGTGCTCTTAGCTTGGATGGACAAGGAGGGTAAGCCTTTCTGAGATGGGTTATCTGAGTTCAGACCTAAAGGTGGAGAAGATGCCAGATGTGGGGGAATTTGTGCGTGTGTGTGTATAAGTCACTTCAGTCGTGTCCAGCTCTTTGTGGCCCCGTGGACTGTAGCCCGTCAGGCTCCTCTATCCATGGGGATTCTCCAGGCAAGAATACTGGGTTGCCATGCCCTCCTCCAGGGGATCTTCCCAACCCAGGAATCGAACCCTCGTCTCTTAGGTCTCCTACATTGGCTGCTGGGTTCTTTACCACTAGTGCCACCTGGAAAGCCCATCGAGAGGGATTTGAGGGGACCCCATTATGGGAGCTCTTGAGCCCCACGGTGAGCCCTGAAAAAGACCCTAGGTCTGGCCATCCCTGTGACCTCTGGCCCTCATTGTAGAGGAGAGAGATCCGAGGGCGGGAAGGGGTGGGGCTGAGGACACTCGCCTACCTGTGAGCAGAGCAGCCAACACCAGGAGTCTCATCCTGTTGTCAGGTTGGTGAGCAAAAGCTGATGTCACTGTGGGCTCCCTCCTTATAGCTGCCCTGCTGCCCTGAGATAAGGCTATCACGTCTTGTTTGCTTTGCTCCCTGCTGACTCTGAGTTGGCCTTGAGTCTGTTGCAGAAATAATCCTGAGCAACAAGCAAGCCCTGCCAGCCGGGGGTCCTTGGAAGTAGTGTGCGTATTTGTCATCTGCCCTTTTGAATGAAAGGGATTATTTGTGGAGTTGCACACCTTGGAATTTTGACCCTCATACCCACCCCTTTTGTGTGTGTGTGTGTGTGTGTGTGTGTGTGTGTGTAGGGGTGGCTGTCAACCCCGTTGAACAACTGGGAGAAGGGAGATGGGAACGAAGTGACTGTTGCCTCCAGGTCCTCTCATGAGCCTGAGTCTGGGCTGTGGGTCTCATTGAAAGGTTCCCATCAATCATGCACTTTGCTGTCGAGGAAACAGGCTCAGAGAGGTGAAACGACTTGGCCCAGATCACACAGCTAGCAAATGCAAAGCAAGGGCTCCAACTTAGGTACATCTGATTCTAAGGCACACTTTGAATTTTTTTTTTTTTCCCACTCCAGCAATACCACTGCCTCTCCCAGTCCCCTACCGTGGATTTGTAAGAAAACCCTGGACTTGGGAATTACAAAGGCTTGGATCTGACTTGTAGAATAAAAAGACTTTTACAACTGTCATATCAAAGGTCTATATAACATTTTTTAGGTGAAATTCACTTCGTAACACCTGACTTATTATTATTTTGGACTTCCTAGGTGGTGCTAGTGGTAAAGAATCTGGCTGCAATGCAGGAGATACAGGAGACATGGGTTTGATCCCTGGGTTGGGAAGATCTCCTGGAGGAGGAAATTGCATCCCATTCCAGTATTCTAGCTTGGAGAATCCCATGGACTGAGGAGCCTGGTGGCTCCGACCGGTGGTCAAACCCATGTCCTCTTCATTAGCAGTGCAGAGTCTTTACCGCTGAACTGCCAGGGAAGCCCCCTGGACCTGGGCATTTTGAGGAATACTAGTCAGGTGTATGCCCCTCTCTTGGAATTTGTCTCATCTTTTTCTGTTGGTAAGACAGGCTTGGCTATGGGTTTGGGGGAGGAAGATCACAGAGGTGAGGTGTCATTTTCATCCCATGGCCATGCTGGGTTTGATCATCTCTTGTCTTGGAATGCATCTTGGGCACTTTCCAGATGAGAACGCTTTCCAGATGAGAACTTCTAGATGAGGTTCAGCCTGGGGTGAAGCTGGGAATGGCAATGCCAAGACTTGAACCCACACCTGCCTCTTCCCACTGAGACACCTCCATTTGCCCTTGGCAAGGTTATGTTAGGTTATGTCACATGAATCAGAGCAGAATCGATAATTCTGACTCTTGTGACCTCTGCTCACGCATGCATCCCAGGATTCCAGCTCTGTACTTTTCCCTTGAGCACGTACTGGGGGCAAGAAAGAAGAAATCCATCTGGAAGAGCTTCCTGGTTTCATTCCAAGTCCAAGAGCCCTAGAAAAATGTCCTTCAGCTAATGTGATAACACCGAAACAGCATTTAGTAAGCAGATGGGGAAACTGAGACCCAGAAAGGGAAATTGATTTATTTGCCTGGGCCTGACTCTGCCCCTATTTGATCCAGGGTTTTCACCACCCATCTCTTACTACTTGCCTGTAGATATTCTACATCAGTCCATTAGCCAGTGTGCATACCAGTGTACCATAGCCAATGGCTATGGTAACCATTAGCCACAAATAGCTATTTAAGTTCATTACTATCAAATAATATTGAAAATTGGCTTTTCAGTCCCACCAGCCACGTTGCAAGTGTTTGATAGCTACACATGGCCAGGCGCTATGGTTTGGAACAGCATGAACTTAGAACGTTTCCATCGTCACAGAAAGTTCTGTTGCATAGTGCCCCTCAGGGTGTCACAGCACCTGTCCCGGGGCCGGCCCAAGGTGAGAGCTCCTGGAAGAAGAACAGGTTAACTCAGGACCCAACTTCAGTCTGGCACGTGGTTCTGCCCCTTCAGAATGAGTGAAGTCTGCCCAGGAAAAGGGGACTCGTGGCCAACAAAATGCTAAGTCCCTCTTGTGTAGGGTTCTTTGGGACTGCGAACAGAGCAGAAAATAGGCACTGCTCCTGTTTGGGGGTGATCTGAAGAAAGAGGAGTAGCTGATGCTATAAAAATCCTCTAAGGCTAATAGTATTAACTACCATTTACCGACCACTAACTAATCCAAGTTGCATGCTAAGAACCTGGCACAGCCTTCTGAGGCAGGTCCAAGGACGAACTCCACTTTACAGAGGTGATGGAGGCTCAGAGAGGTTAAGTGACTGCCCCAGTGTCACACAGAGGATGTGAGTTGGATCTGGCAACGATGATAACGCAATGTCACCTCACATCAGGGAATTGTAGTAGCAGGTGTGAGTGTCAAAGGCCCATGGAGGCCAGAAGGAGGTTTAGTCCTGCCTGCTTCTCTCCCAGCGACCCCAGCCAGCTGGAAGTCTTCCACAAGGGCAGGCTGGACAAACTCCCACGTGCAATTTGTGCTGGGGCTTAGGCAAAGCAGCTGGTGGGAGAGGGGTCAGACTGCTACTGGAACCCTCTCCCCCTGGAAAGAGACGAGCTAACTGTGACAATCCAGACCTCTGCAGGGGACATGGAGGGGGCAGAGGGATGGACCTGGCAGGTCACTGATAGCCCACCAGGCCCCTAGGATTGGCACTGTGACCTGCTGCTGCCCTTGCACAGGTGTGTACAGCACAGCTTCTCCCAGCCTGGGAAAAACACACTCTCCAGTGGAAAGAATGGCTAAGTATAGCTTCTTGACTCCTTCAGGTGATGACATACCCACACTCCAGCAAGGTCACACCTGGCCAGCCCCTGGAGGACATGGCTCCTGCTTCTAGGAAATGCTTAAGTGCACCTACCATTTACTGAGTGCTTCTGTCTGTCCAGCCCTGGGCGAAGAGTGTTATGTTGTTTTTCATCCTAACAACCATCTTCTGACATAGTTATTATTTTTTTCGTCATCTCGTTTTTATAGATGATTAAACAGGTTCAGAGAACTTAAGTTCTGGCTCAAAGTGAACACAGCTGGAAAGTGAAGGAAATAGGATTTGAACCTGCATGTTCTTGCCTCTTAATCCGGCACTGAGCCCAGAATGTGGGCTGTTGGGAAGTTCCCAGAAAGCCTTAGGTAACACTGGACTGGGTTTAACTTGGCTGGGGTCAGCTTAAGGGGCTGTTTCCCATCCCCCTCCCTCATCACTCTGTCTCTGTTTCCAGTACATCTGGGCTCAGCTGAAAAGAAAATATTTCTCAAACTGAGCACAACCACCGAGGAAGCTGACCTTCTTCAGAAACCCAGGAACTCTCCCCACACTCACTCTCTTTCCCATCCAGTCCCTTGCAAGTCCAGCTCTCCAGCCACACCAACCTCCAATACCTGGTACCTGCCGCAGCATCCCTGGCCCAGATGGTTGCAGCAGCCTCCTCAGCGACCCTGTGCTCCCCTCCACAATGGCGTTCCTCAGATCTCTTCCCTATTGTGGGGCTGATGACATGTTCAAATGCAAACCCAATTACATCACGTCACCAGTCTCTCACCCCACTGCCTAAAACCCTTCACGCCTTCCCATGGCTCTTATATAAGAAACAAAATCAGCCTAGAGGCCCAGTTCCCTCTGCCCCTACCTACCTCTCGGCCCAGAGTGGGGTGGCATACCCTCTTCTCCAGGCACAGGGAGCCTTCTCTCGGCTCCCTGATGGAAGTCCTTGTGCTTTCTCCCACTTCAAGGCTTTTGCAACTGCTGGTCTCTCCTCGTGGTATGCTCCTTCCCTGTGAGCCTTGCCTAGTTAATTCTTACCCTTCTTGCAGATTTTAGCAGAACTCGACCCCCCTACACACCCAACTGAAATCACTGCCTTCAGATGACTAATGGTTCTGATTTTTTTCCCCCTCAAGGACTGAAGGGTTCTCGGGACACAGTTTCCTGTTTTCAAACCAGAAAAGTCCCTGGCAAAGCAGGACAGATTGGTCACCCTCCCAGTTCTTAACAGTGATGCACGCACAGTTGGTCCTAAGGGAATATTTGTTGAATGAGTGTGGGAGTCCGTGGGGGCCACCCAGGAGGGGGCAGTCACTGCTGAGCCCCAATCACCTGGAGGAACCTTGGGATTCATAGCAGCTACTTCTCACTAAACACTTACTTTGTGCCTTGCCTGGTGTTGATTCCTCTGTCTGCCCTCGCTGTTTAATTAACAACCACCCTAGTTACTGCTGCCATTCTCTTTTTAATTTTGTTGAGGTGAAATTCCTCTACACATTAGAAAACAACCATTTCAAAGTGACCAATCCAGTGGCTTTTATGCCACAATGTCATGCCAACACCACCTTTAATGAAAAAGTATTTTCATCACCCCACAGGAAATCCCTTAACCATTGAGTTTATTCCCCTTTGCCCCTCTTCCTCCAGCCCCAACCAATCTGTTTTCTATCTCTTATGGATACCTCTTCTGGCTATTTCACATAAACAGAATCTTATCATGTGACCTTTTATATAATTCCCATGAATAGATGAGAAAATTGAGGCTCAGAGAGGTTGAGGACCCTCAGCTAGGAAAGGGAGGAGCCAGGTGGTGGAACCACCACATCTAATTTTTGGAGATTACCCATGCCCACCTGAGCTGGTTTTCATCCTTCACCCTCTTAGGATTCTGAGTTTAAGGTCAAGTCCTGAAAGATGATGCTGTGAAAGTGCTGCACTCAATATGCCAGCAAATTTGGAAAACTCAGCAGTGGCCACAGGACTGGAAAAGGTCAGTTTTCATTCCAATCCCTAAGAAAGGCAATCCCAAAGAATGCTCAAACTACTGCACAATTGCACTTATCTCACACACTAGTAAGGTAATGCTCAAAATTCTCCAAGCCAGGTTTCAGCAATACGTGAACCGAGAACTTCCAGATGTTCAAGCTGG